TGCTAAGGATTACAAGACTATGAGCAACAGAAGACAACTTGTATTCAAATGTATTCAGTTCCTTTTTTCCCACTTTTCTATATTCAAGTTATTTTTTTCCGCCTGTCCAAGTGATTAGCAATAAATGTGTGATGCTCTTTTTAATGAGAATTATTGCAATGTAAGAATAATGGTTATGAAAAGGTAAATGGAAGGCCATAGCATCCTTACATATTTCACCAAGGTTTACTTGTATTTTCTGATCATACATGTTCAAATTTTTTTCTCTTTAATCCTTATTTCACCTTTTCTCCCATTCTAATCTGATTTTGCAGACAATGAGTCTGATTAAGCCCCTCTTTAGCCACAACTCAATAATTAATGCTCATTCAGTCTTTTTTTAATCTCTAACTAAATGTTTTCTTTTTAATTATTTGATTGGCTTTGGATTTTTTTTAGAGGCACAGAGCAATGATTATTTAATTTGTGTGTCTGAGGACTGAATACTATGAACACGGCTAATAAATGTGCAAGCATGTTCACCAACTACGGGTATGGATCTATAGATTGACCTTTACTTCTCCCCCCTGACCATAGATAAACCCTGAAGCATCAAGTTATTATAACATCTCCCCAAAGACATTCAAACCTTTCCGTATCAGCCCGTCTAAAAACTTGTATTGTTTCATAATAACATAATCTCATTTCAAATGCCAATAATATCTAATCACAACATGGCATCTGCAACTGCAGTCCTTACCAAATCGAAAGCAAATATTATAAAGATAAAATAAACATTTAAAGCCCATCATAGAATAATCATCCTAAGATAAGAACAATTAAAAGCTAATAAATAAAAGGTGATTTCAACCTACTCATTGACTTTAGTGGAAACATCACCTCTGACAAAGTGCCCATAAAAAGTCGATCATTCAAAAGACAGGCGACCCCCCATCTCCTCCCATCGATCCGTGTAAGGAGACAAATCAAGTAGATGCAGGCAAACACAAAGAGCCGTCAGCCTAGAAGCTGGATCAATACTGGGATTATGCATGCCTGCTGGAATATTTGTGTTTGACATTGATTATGTTCAGTTTTGATGGAAATATTGTTGAGATCAGACAAGCTTTATGTACATACAAAGCAAGAGCAGAAAATCTCAGGACGGAGACTGGAGATAGATCTGATAAGATGCAAGTGACTCAAAATGGCTCGATAAAACACAATTTCCTCGCGTTGTTCCAACGGACAGCCTTGCCCTTAAATTGAATGAAAATATGACATAAATATTTCAGACACGGCCGTTATACTATGAGCAGCTAGAAGCACGTCAACAGAAATAACTAAAAGATGCTGCTGTTATGTTTTGACATAATAAGAAAAAAAAAAAGCTCTACTGTGTGGTTATTCATACAAGAAGACAAGCTGACCCTGTCAATTTATCTCGGGTCCTTGACAGCTTGGGCCTCAGAGATAGGGGCATCAGTTGCAAGTGTAAACACTGTCTAGACAAAAGGATGGTGAGAATATATGCTTAAAGAAGAAAAAAATTAAAGATATGTTTTACAGAGGAATATTTATACATCTTTAAATCTTCTTAAAAAAAAGGCTTGAGATAAATAAGGGATTAGGTTTTTAGCCATACTGAAAATAGGATTGTTTATATAGGATTAGAGGGAAATCTGCTTTCATATGAAGCCTTGCAAGCTGTCACATCACAGAACAGAGAAGCTCTGATTACAACACATCATATGAATCAGTGTTAATGACACTTATTAGAATGCGACTCAGCTAACGGACGGCAAATGTTGCTGAACCTTTGCTCAAAGTAGAGCTTTACCATTTTAAGAAAAACTACATGCAGTATTATTGCTGCAAACAGCTAAACCTGTTTTTACAATGACCAATCTGAATTTTCTTCTGTACTCATCTTTATTTATCACAATTTCCCCGTCAATCTCCATGAACTATCTGATCTTTAGAGGTTTTGGGTATAAGACAATGTTAACAGATCATTTTACATGTTATCTAAGCAGAGTTTCACTGAATTTCCTCTATACAGTACTTCTATACAGTAGATTTCCAAATATTTTATCTATGCAATCCTTTATAATTGGGATTCAATATATGATGCAGCTCTTTTTGCAGGTATACTATATCAGTTCACTTTCATTAATTTAGTTTATTAATACAGATCTGCTCATGAGGAGTGGACCAATTAGCTGCAATTAGCTATTAGCTGCAGCTTTGCTGCAACTATTTCCTAGCGTAACAAAAACATGTAGATCAATAAAACAGAATAAAGGATTTGTAAACTCCAAGAATACAATGAAATAAATAGAAAAAGAAATAATTCGTACAAAAAGAGCAAATATAAATAAACGAGGAGATGGTATCTATCCACAGGGTTCACACAGTAGGCTAAATCATAATATACCTCCTTATAAATTTAATAATTGTAATTATAATTGCATGAACCAGCTGATCGTAAGAATAACTAAATTAATATTTTTTTAACGTCACTAGTAGCTCGTATTATGTACAGTGGGCTGACACGAAAGGGAGTACGAGAGAGGGGGAGAGACATGCGGCGAAGGACCACAGGTCTCATTCAAACCCTAATCGGCCATATCAAGGAATAAGGCCTCTGTGCATGAGTCGTGTGCGCCAACTTCTGAAGCATGCCTGACAGACACATAGATATACTATAACATACTTGTCTCATGTAATTATTCTAAATAGATAATTGCACTAGCATAGGGTCTGACAATGGGTGCAAGGATTTCATCCTGATACCTAATGGAAGTCAGGGTGTTGTTGTCTAGCCTGTATAGGTCTGTGCGTCCCTTCATGGATATGCCTCCCCAGACCATCACTGACCTCTGGTTATCAACAGCTCAGCTGTAGAGGTGATCAGCAGCACCAAAAGCGCATGTACTTCTTGCGGAGGATGAGAGCCTGCCTGCTCCCACCCATCCTTACCACCTTCTACAGAAGCACCATAGGGAGCGTTCTGACCAGCTGTCTCACTGTGTGGTGTGGAGGCTGCAGCACCTCAGACTGGATGAAGGTGAGAAGAGCAGTACGAACAGCAGAGATCATCGGGGCTCCTCTTCCCTCCATTAAAGACATTTCATCCCAGCGCTGCATGTCCCGAGCCTGTAACATCATCAATGACCCCTCACACCCCCACCAAGGACTGTTCTCCCTGCTGCCTTATGGGAAGAGGCTTTGAAGCTGCCGATGCAGGTCCAGAAGATTCCATAACAGTTTCTTCCTCACTGCCATTAGACTGCTGAATGTTGCGTAAAATGGGTTATTTTATTTATAGAAGAAAAAAAACAACAAGTAAATCTGTCTAAGTCTTACAAGTACAGAAGAAATGACTGGTTTTGATCTAAAATTAATCAGCTTCTCTAGGTGACTTTCTAAAGACTTGTCTGGTGCATCAGACTGAAAGATAAACTTAATATTCTTTTTTTTTTAAGAAAAGTAACAGTTTGAAAACCATAAGACAATGGTGTCACTATATGTGAACTAATTAACTTCCTATGAGTCTAATCAAGTAACAAATTACTCACATGATGTATATCTTAAGTCAAAAATAGAATTTTTTATCAGCACCTAATGAAAAAGCAATGCATGTTACTTTGTATAATGAATTAAAACCAGCTGAGAAACATCCTTATGATGCTTCTTCAGACCCAAAAATCCACATTGAGTTCATCATTATTTTCAGCCGCAGTATGGTGTTTACAATAAACGTGCAAAAATGCACAGGCAAACTCTGCAGGCAGCTACTAACTTGTGAAATTGAGCTTTTGTGCGACCACTCAATCAATACTTCCTGAGTGTCGGGTAACACAGGCTCACTATACTGTGCCTCCTAACATCGATATGTGGCAATTGGTTATTTTGCCTTTCCACCACTCCACCGCAAAATCGACCATATAATATTTTCACTGTCTTTCAATGTTTTCAGAATAAGGGCTTGTTCTGTACCTCAGGAAACGACCAAGCACCTGTGGAGTCCTCGTAAGGAAACATAAACAGCCACAAACACAGTGAGGAGGTGAGAGAAAAATCAGGAAAAACCTATAGAATTTCAAGTTATTATGTGATTTAAAAAAATACTGCAAAAATTATTTAAATATGACAAACTGAAGTACAGTAAGGCTAAGTTTCAAATGCTCTATATAAAAACATAGATATGGGAAACAAATACTTTAGTCTTTAGGTCTGTTTTGATCCCTGTTCCTATCATAGTCCAGAAAGTTTAACTAGCATCTAAGTTCAGCAGCACCTGAACTTTTCACCTGCCCTGAAATGAATATACCTTTTGTACGGAATAACATTAGCCTTATCTGAACATCAGCAGCACAGATCAGTGATCAAAAACCAGCCGTGCATAAACGGCTGGAATGCCAGCCATCTGCCATGGACGAGAAGCTGAGAAAACTAATTTTCAGCACCTGGCGTGATGTCGACTGGGAAAAAATGTGTCCTCAGATGATCACAGCTCCAACTCTGAAAAAAATCTGTTCAACTCTGTCAACAAGTTGGTGGCAATACAGAGCAACACAGAGATATGAAAGTAATAAATAAAAAATTTTCTCTGAGGCTTGGTAAAGGAATAAAGGTAAAGATTTTTACACTGCAGAATGAATAGTTATAGGCAAAGTAAAAATAAAAGTAAAATTATTTAGAAATTAGAACTTATTATAGAAATATTGTTAGGGGAAAATGCTAATCAGAAAGCTGCATTTGGAGCTTGTTTGTGACTCAACAGATTTACGCTAACATCATTCCCATTTGTCCCCGTCGTACTTCAAACTCCATCCTTCTACTCTGGCATCACAGATTTACAACTTTCAGATGTATGACCCTTTAGCTGCTGCGGCTGATGGATGAGCAGAGCTGCTGCAGCCTTATTGGCCATCAGACTGATGACTTCAGGAAGTAAGGGGAGACAGAAAGGCAGACTGACAACAAGAGAAAGAGGATAAGGAATGAGAACATACTTGAAGCCTGGTGCCATGTTGGCACAAGTCCCCGTGCGAGGCCAGATGCAGTAAGGGTCACGGGAGGCCAGGCATGCTCTGGAGGAAGAGGAGACAGAAGAGAGAGGGTAATTTATGGTTATTTGGAGGTCCAGGGGGTTCTACTTTAATGGCATAAAATGCATAGACTGACTGAAAATAAAGCAGATCATTAAAGATTCAGCAACTCCCATTTTCCCATAGAAATGGTCTAAATATCTCATCAGATCATGAACCTTACTTACTTTGTCAGTTATTTTTCATCCTCAGCTTATTTGGCTGATCAAAAATATTAACATTAAAACTCAAAAGCATCTAGAAAAAGTTTAATCATTCCTATCCATCAGCGATTTCAAGTTCAGGCAATGAATCAATAGCAGAAAAGATAACTAGTTAAATGGGAATCTAAATAGCCAAATAAAATCTACAGATTTTTTCCCCTCTCATTTAAATTCATAAGAAATTCCCTTTGTAAACAGTAACAGTTTATTTTTTTTTTTTTATTAAAGAGCTTGCAGAACAATAAGAAAACAGTGCATTTTCAACCATTTGTCCATATTTTCAGTTAATAAAGACTAAAATAAGTGGATAAGTTAAGGAGCAAAATTCATTATAGCCAGCTTTAACAAAAACATTTGTCATTCAAAAAGTAGGAATACTTCAGTTAAGTAAAGTGTTGCTACAAACGTGGACAATCTTGTTGGTACAACTTGTCTTATTATAGAAAAACCCACAATGATTACAGAAACAACTTTAATCTGACAAAAGAAAAAATACAACTCTATGAAAATGAAGAAATGAAAGTCAGACATTGGTTTTCAACCATCCAACAGTCCTGGACAAAAATGATGGTACACATAAGATTTTGCTACAGAGACCTTTAAGGCAATCCCTGACATCAAACAATTCCTTTAACTGTCAGTGAGACTTCTGCATGTACTTTGGTCCACTCCTCATGAGCAAACTGCTCCAGTTGACTCAGGTCTTTTCAGACACCATGTTTCAGCTCCTTTCAAAGATGCTCAATAGGATTTAGATTAGGGATCATAAAAGGCCACTTCAGAATACTCTTAAAGGTATAGAGGACAATCTTTTATTTCTTGTTGGATCATCTAAATAAGTGGTCCTCCTAATTATCATACCAGTTAGCTCTCTTTTTCTGCACATTCTCACTTTCAGCCGCATATCTGTGGTGAGCTATGGTTTCAGGGAGTCATCGAAGCTCACCTTTCTCACCTCTTTGGGTATAAAACATTGCCGAGGGTCGTAAGAGAAAAAGTGTCTGCGAAGTGTATAAGTAGAAAAGAAAGGTCTATATCGCGGAATGCTTTGCGAGAGGAACTCTCCTCACAAAGCATTATGGGATATGCTGTCACAGCGGCCCGGGGCTGAATAAAAGCCCTCAAATGGCCTTTTGAAGCCTGCCACACAAGATAGATAAGGAGATGTTCAAAGAAATACTCGCATTGAAGATCAAGCACACACATAATACAGCTTCTTAACATCCCTTTTTTGTTTAGGGACAGTGAGCCATCACGCCGTCTCATCATGTGCTTCTGAAACACACACAGGCGCAGGTGACAGCAGCCGCCATCAGGAAGCCTCTTCAAATTCAAGAAAGCCCACGGTAACACAAACAGTGGCCGATATCCCAGACAGCACAGCACACGTGCCTGTTCACACATCTACTCTCAAACGCCTTCATCCATTACCTACAGTTCTATTTGCCTTCTGCCTATCACTTACGCACGGACACGCAGTGGCACAATTCACAAGCAAAACACAACGCCGACAAGGAGGCCAGCCAAAACAGCAGTGCAAGTATTTACCAGTGCTGTCACACAATCACACCGCAGGTCATTCTGAATACAGAAAGCAAGTCCCAGCAGCCAGGGAGTGAAGTCAAGGCAATATTTCTCAGCAAGAATGTGAGATTTCTGAAAGCGAAAAAAAAATTGGAAAGGATGAAAAGAATTCTTGAGGTTTGTTTATCTTATTTTTTATTTTTTTAAGACCAACCAGTGAAATACTCAGCTTGGTTTTTCTCCACAGTTTTCAGAGGCTGTTTTCCTCTCTACTGAGCTCTGATGTGACTACAAGTGTTTTTTTTGTTTTTTTTATTAAATAACTAACAAGTCTGTGGCACTTACGTGTTAACAGCTGATCATCCAGTTCTTAAGGGGTAGCTTTATTGTTTTGATTTGGTTATCCAGGACACTATACAGTCTCAGATCTGAGGGACTGAGAGGAAACTCATTATTCCCTTCACAACATGCCTAAACCATTTTTGAAGGCACAGTCATTAACACTTTTTTGAGCAGATCATTGCCCAAAGCATAACATTTCCTCCTCATTGTTGCCTCATTCCTGTAGTACAGGCAGCTGGCTTCCCATCAAATCCAACTAAACAGACCCCCATCTTCTATTGGCCTATGATCCAGTTGTGATGCCATTTCACCCAGTGCTGGTCTTTTTGGCAGTGCAGATTGGTCCACATTGGGACTCTGAATAGCCCATTTCTATATAGTCCAGTTCAGTTCTAATTACAATGTACTAGTATTCTGACAACTTTCTATCAGCTATGAAAAGGCCAAATTCTAACGATGCGAGCAAAAATAATTTGTCAAAAAGATTTTCATGCACAAATCATGAGAAAACGTCTAATTTATGGTTCGTAAAAGCTAAATCCACCCGAAATGTTGCTCATCAACTATTTAATAAATAAATCTAATGCAGGCCCCATTCACACTCATTATTTTATGTCATTCCCGCTCCTAAGTTTGATTTTTGGGTGTAAAAACCCCAGTGAAACGATCTGGTGTTTTTGACTGGGAGCAAACTATGTGTATCTTTGCGTGCTGGAATTCCAGCTGGTGGAAGCCTCTCTTTGCTCCTGCAGCTGTTGCCACACCAGACAGGCTGGCTTTCATTCATCCCGCTCAGTGATTAAAATGAGGCTGATTAAAACCAATGTAAGTGTGTATGAGTGTGTGTGCACGTACATCCCTCTCAAGTGATGAATGTGCTCTAATTTGGGCAGTGAGATCTGTTCTTTTCAGCCTAATGAAGTCTATAAATACAGATCCTTTATGTTCATATTTTACGATTCAGATCCCCCCATTATTACCCCGAATACACACGTGTTTCTACAATATTCATTATGTTACCAAATTAGGCTTGCTATTTTAATATTTAAAAAGATTCCCCCATTCATAGGGAACAAACTTCCAAGATTTTTTACAAACTCATACCCCTGAAAGTGGCTTCAATTCAATACTTTAACTTATTTTTAGTTTAAGCCAGTTTTACTTCTGTTCCTTACTTTTTGCAGGCTCCATGTTGGGTGCAGCGGCTGAGTGGTATTCTGATAACACAGCTGGTAAAGGCAACAAACAATGCGTGATGGTCTTTATCCAACTCCAGTCCCAGAACTCTTCTGTCCTCCTGGCCCTGAACATTGCACCTGAGCAGACAAACAGAAAATAGAGCATTACTCTAAAACTTGGATACAGGTTTAAACATCTGCAAGAGCCACATTAGAAATCTGAAGAGCAATACTTGGAGGGGTTATACACGTCGATGTCCTCTAGCAGTTTGGACCCAAAGCTGTCATTGGGATGTGTGCTAGCCAGAACTTTCAGGACATGGCCATCGTCTGAGCCCAGGAACATCACCGTTCTGTCCTTAAGGGGACCAGCTGAAACATCAACCACAATCTGGGTCAACTTTGACCTGAAAGAAAGAAGAAAAAAAAGCTTTTAAAATCCTACCTATGATATTACTTTGCATAAAGTTTTAAATGCATTTAAAATTAATAACTTACAGCAAAAGGTATGACTTGTATGACAAAGTATAAAAAGCAGATTGCAGGTTAAAGCCTCACCGTTGTTGTCATTGTTTAGAAAATATGTGAGGAACAGGTTTTTGAATTAAAAATGTATTTATATATAAAGAAATTTAGGCTTTTGGGTTGTTTTTGTGAGACAAATTTACTTCTGCATCAAAAATCAATAACTACCTACTCTCTACACAGAGCTGAAGCATCGCTGAATATTTGGCCCCTAGGTAAAACAAAAAAAATAAAAGATAAAGATAAATTTAAGTTTCTTGATCTCACAATTGAGAAAGTAACACTCTGCATTTAACCCATTCCCTTTGTGGAGCAGTGGACTGACCTTGTACAGCACCTGGGGAACAATCAGGGATTAAGGGTTAAAATGAGTCTCAGTTTTTAGGAAAAAAAACTTTTATCAGTTGATTTGCTTTTAAATCTTAAATAAACTTTTCAACTAGGCCACCACTCCCTTCAGAAGAAGGTCCTACTGAGATTTGAACACAGATCACTGAATTCAGAGTTCAGAGCGCTAACCATTACACATAGTTCCCTTATTAGACAGGACTCTGTTTGCATTTTGTCCAAAATTTAACTGGCAATTTGCTCTTTAAATTAGCCTTCTATTTACTTTGCTTCATTTATCTTAGGAGGTGATTATTCTGTTGATTTTCCTTAAAATATGATTCTTCAAACTACAGCCCACAGATCAGTGAGTAATAATTTCTATTTTGTTGATATTCTTTGTGTAGAAGGGAAACAATGGCTCCAAAAAAAAAAACAAAGATGCTAATGCTATTCGAAATGCTGCTAAAAAAAACAAAAAAAAACAGCTAATGATGCTAATGGGATCTAGCACATCTCCACTACTTCCTGAACTTGAGGCAACTCTTTTCTTTCTTGTCCTTCATTACTGGATGAACTGATTAATCCACGTCTGGTCATGTTTACTGAGATCAGGCACACCTGGATTAATAAGTTCATCCAGTAGAAAAAGACAGGAAATAAAAGAGCTGCCTTAAGCTCGGAAAGTGGTGAAGTTGTGCATAGAGCTCTTTGAAATTAAATGTCTAAATGCACCCACTATGTTGTCTTTTAAATTACAGTTAACCAGCTAATAATAGGGAAATTTAAAAAGAATTGCCTTAATTTAATCACAATTAAATTCAGCAACAAGATCACTCTTATAAACGTTTCAAAATCATTAAAAAGCCAAATGTGCATTTAAACTTCTACTTGATATTAACTTTGAAAGATAAAGTTGCCTCTGCATACTGACAGATGGATCCAATCACTTTAGTTACATATTGTTTTATATTATAGCAAAAAGATTGGTCTGACAAGACAAGTTAGCAAGATTAAAATCTTTTAGGATTTAGAAATGCAGTACAAAAAAAAAAAAAGAAGAAAAATCTTGAACTTGTTGCCAAGTAACACAATAATGTGTCAGACTCTTCCTGCTTTACTTATATCCTCACTTATCTTTGTTCTCCATAAAACGGCCATGAAAAGAAAACAAATCAAGGCTCCCTTCTCACCCTTGTGGCCCGATGGGCTCACCCCGTCAAACTGACTGATGTTACATAAAGGAGCCAGCAGATCTGCGCTACCCTTCGGATATCTGCATCATCGTTATCTGGGTCAGCTCGGACCTCTCAAGCAGAGAGGCTAATTCATACATGGAATTAAGAATCTCATTCTCATTTCAGAGTGGTAATTAGAATCCATCAGAAACTCATTTGAAATCTGCAGCCGTAGATGAAAAAGGTCACAGAATCTCTGAGCTGCTGAGTCGGAGGCAGCTGGAGCAAGAACTTACAGAGAGGCAGCAACTAATCACGGCTGATACCGATGATTATCCTCCAGGCTTTAGGCCGGGATTGTGGAAACACTGTCCCTCACTGTGGCTGTAATTCTTTAACCTGCTTCTTCGGGGTACACTTCAAACCTTCCTCTTTCATTCTGACCTTCCAGAAGCCGTTTTATTTTTTTGCAGGGCTTCCAGGAGGATTTCGTTTAGATGTTCTCTCAGTGATAAACTGCTAACATATTCTGCTTTTAGCTGCAAGCTGGCTTAACTAGATTCACACTGCAGGAAGGTTACATCTGATGATAATTTCAAGAGCATATTTATGGGTAGATTCCAATTCCTGCCAAAAACAGGAAAATAGTTGGGGGTGGGCTGGTGTCAACTGTGGGTGTAAGCCAGTCAATAGCTGCTTATCTCATGAAGCAGATTCCTTTCCTTCCACCATCTTCAGCAGGTGCAAAGGTTTCTAAATTCTCTTTCTGACAGAAAATGACAAACTCAACTCTTGCCGCCCACATGCTTAACCTGGCTATTGTTGATGATTTAGACCATGCACTGCGGCATGAGGGCTTTCTAAAGGTCTAAAGGGAATACAATCTTGCCCAAACACAAAATGCAAATTGAATCAAATGTCACAGAAGTTCTAGAGTAGAAAATAATGGTTCCACATTTTCCATCATCGCACTCGCAGCACTTTGAGAGACTGCTGATACTGTAAAGCCTAATCATTCACCCTTTCTGCCAAATCAGTTGGGTCTCAAGACCTGAATCGTTCCGACATGCATAATAGGACTCCAGTATGTAGAGTAAAGCTCTATTGCCTGTTACCTGCTGGATGTTCGGGTGAAGCAGGGCCGATCATTGACTGAAGGTACAGCCTCATCCATCAGAGGATATGATTTAATGAAGGTTAACATTTCATCTGGAAACTGAACTGAAGATTTGTAATCTGAGGCTGGGCCATCGCCTGCACAGGTACCAGGTCTGGAGGAAAAAAAAAAGAAAACTATTACAATCAACAGTCTTATATGCAATATGTTTGTTATACTACATTTTTGCTACATAAATCCTGTTTGTTGGAACTCTTATTTGAATAGCAACTTCTCACCTTGGTCTGGGAACCTGCTCATCTGGGACTGGAGTCCAGGATGAGTCACTGGTTCTCTGCTCTTTGAACTTCCCGTTAAAGACTTTCTCAATGTCGTCCATATAGAAGGCACAAACCGCTGAGCCTGGGATACTGAGGAGACACAGCGAATAATGATTGTTGACCTCATGTCATTTTATTCTAATCCTTAGTAAGCTTACAAAAGAAAAAAAAAGAATTATGCAAAATAAAAACACAATTAAATAATAGATCATTGAGTGTTGGAAGGAACCAAAAAAAAAAAACAGCTAGACAAATCATAAGATGACAGCCTTTTTGATCCAATACAGACAATCATTACAGTGAGTTCCCTGACCATGAAGTCTCAGGGCAAAGTATGTATGTATTTTGCAATCTAAAATTGTTACACTCTCCGATGTAAGATTTGAGGCCCTTAAAGGGGTCATAGAATGGTTATATAGGGTATTTGGTGCTGGTCCTTAAGGTCTCTGAATGGGGTGTGTATCATTGGCTGGGCTGAAAATGGAATATTTGCTGTTCTATGAGCCCTAATGCAAGCCTATTTATAAGCCCTAGAATGAAACAAGAGGTTTTCTTTCTTTTATGGTATGATCATAAATATTTAGATGAGCTGTGTACTGATTGATTGGTTTACAACAAGCGAAGCTGCTGAGCAGATGCATCATAGCAACAAACACTCACTCACTGAAAAATCAAATTGTTTATATGGTAGGGTGACCAGACATCCTCTTTCTCCCGGACATATCCTGCTTTTCATATCTAAAAAAGGTCGGGGGGCAGTTTCAAAATCATCTGGGATTTTTTTGGTCGACTACAGTGCAGCAAGTAGTCATATGGTAAATGGCATGTACTTACAGTATATAGCGCCTCTCTTCAAGTCAGGAGACTTGACCACTACATTCATTCACCCATTCACGCACACACTCACACACTGATGGTGGCAAGCTACATTGTAGCCACAGCTGCCCTGGGGCTCACTGACAGAAGCGGGGCTGCCGTACACTGGCACCACAGGGCCCCCTGACAATGCAGGTGAAGTGTCTTGCCCAAGGACACAACGACACAGAAAGTCGGAGTCGGGGCTTGAACCGTCACTCCTTCGATTTCAGGGCAAACTCCCACATCCAATGCCACTGTCGCCCCTCTCAAAACACACCGGGCATTGAACTAAGCCGTGAGCTCCGGGGCCGGTCCGGGAAGCCTGGTGGACGGGGGCAGGGAGCCAGCGGGGGACGGAGCGCCAGAACCTGACCCATTCATAGTATCCTGGACACCGGCGGCCCCATGCCGAGCACGGTAAGGCAGGCGGTGGGAAGCACATCGTTAACACTGGAAAAATGCCCAGGGGATGACCCAGGATCTCGGCTTTCCAGGGAGCCATGATAACGAGGTCTAAGCTTCTTTAAGCTTCATCTTAATTTAACTACACATACTTCTTGTCATTATGGCAAAAAGGTTTAATATCTGGCTTATCAGACATTTTATTTTTACTATTAATATTTTTTCTACATGTGTTTTTTTTATTATTATTATTATTTTTAAGACAGTTATATTTTCAACTAAGTCCTTACAGAAATGTCAAAATTTTTATCACAAAGGCAACAAAAACAGACACTGCACTGACAGACGGACCCCTTTACCCATCATAAAATACTGGATTTTATAAAATAAGTAGCAACTAATGAGGTCAGTCTCATGGATTTTTATAGGCACACTGAAAAAGGAAGGAAAAGAAATAGCACAAAGGAAAAAAAAATAGGTAAAGGGATTAATTAATGGAAAATAGCAAGTGGAGAGAGATTCCAAGAAAAACCTATATACATTCTGTGAAGATAGCGGTTACACTGTACCTGAAAAGACTCTTTTTGACATGTCATTATCCCTGACCTAAATCTTAAAAGGGACCCAATTTCTTCATGAAATCTTTAACTCTCAAGAGTAAGAACCTGGGCACAGCGTTTCTGGTTTTTTAAATGATGTTCTCATTTCCATAAATGTCTACTGAAAGAAGCTTCTTTGCTTTCCAACAATAACCATACATCTCAATTCTAACAAAATGTAAATATTTAAAAATGGTTCTGCTTTTCCAAATGACCTCTAAATGTTTAAGTATATTGACTTTTTAACATAATCATAAGCAAAGCTTATTGTCCTTTATTTTGATAATGGATGCAATTTAAAATATAAATCTAAAAGCTAACATGCATCACTCCCCTAAAATAGTTGCCCTTATAATTTGCTATAAATTTCTCAGCTATAATAATTGTCAGCTATAATAACATCATAATTCTATGCCCACTATCCAAAACATATTCAAAGGTGTTACTTGTGTATTCACTTTGCTTGAAGAAGTATGTCCTAAAGCACATTTTACAAATGATTTCACTCACAAATCACTAATATAATGTTTGGGTTTTTTTAACCCACAAAAAAAACAAACTACAACACTAAAAAACAAAGGAAAAAAAAGAAACTCCGCACTTTGGATTTCTAATCAAAGTGACCTAATCACAATTTAAATCAACTAAAATAGTCCTTTGTGAGATTACCTGTTGGACTGGGTGGTAAACACGCCAACAACCGCCGGCCTCTGGTTGATCTGCAGCACATTTGTCAGAGACTGAAGAACGTCAAAGTAGAAGAAGGAGTCTCCAGGAACTGAACAGTTTAAACGAGCCTGAAAAACACAAAGTGAGTTTAGTGATTTGGCTGTTAAAAAAATATATAATATAAATAAATAAAACAGGATTGGATGCTGTCCAAAAAATAAGTGACTATAGCAGCTACCAGTGCAGTTAAATCAACATCAACAACACATACATTTCAAATATAATGTAAAGAATATAACAGCATCATATAAAATCTGTCTAATTCCTAAAATTATTTTGATAGGTTAGCATGTATTTTTATTTATTTATTTTTTATGAGAAAATACGGTTTCAAAGAAGAACTTTGACACTTGAAAGAAAATTGAAAGCAGGATGTTTTTAACGACAGTAGCTGGAGCTTCATGGCCTGTTGGGTAAAGTTATTATAAAATGAAGAGCTTTCTACAAAATATGAAATAATAAAAAAAAAATGAAAATAATACTAGTAATAATAAACTACAATAAAAAAACAAAATCAATCAGTAAATCCATTATAAAATACCCTACTTTATAGACAGACATAAAAGTTTACGAAATGATGATTCATTTTGGCAGCTTTCTTTTTTAGGGATCATCATAGCATCAGAATTTGGCAAAAAAAAAAATGTCCTCCCGGATGCAACCAAGATATAGACCCAGTTCCCACATATTCAAATCAAACACTTAGATCATTGCGCCACAGAGGGACTAACAATGATTTCACTGAAATATGTTCAGTAACATTAGTCTAGAAAAATAAAATAACATCCTGTGCTTCTGCTGCAGAATTCATTGCTGGTTTTATTGTAGTCTAACAGAATTTGAACTGTAATATGTTGGAAATGTACAAATAATATTACATTATGTTAAATAAGGATAAATGAGACAGTGGTACAAAGATAGGAAAGTAGAGTTTCATCCAAAGCTTTTAAAGAAAAATTGCAAATGATTTATTCATTTTAAATGATTCTATCATTTATCTCATTCATACGTTTTGCTCAGGAAAATCACCTTCAGGAATGAAGTCCAGTATCTTTCCAGAACTCTGGGGGAACCTCCGTTATCGTTCTTACAGACTCGTGCAACTCGAGAAAACACAACCTAGGGAAAATAACAGAAATAAGATTTTGGTACGGAAAGAGTGAGACGTGTACTTGCTTCGCTTATTGGTTTGATTTAACGCCTTTAAAACATAATATTAAAGACACAGCAATAATAAAACAAACATTTATAGAAAGATATAAACACATCCTTTAGGGCTTTTTCCCCGTTTTATTGCTTTTTAAAAGTTTTAACCAACTTCTTTGCTGGTGGAGAATTTTCCCACACATACATACCTTGCCCAGGGCTGTGTATTCCACTGCGATCTCACTCAGGAAAAAGTAGACATAGTTACCATAGTCAATGGCGTGCTGGAAATGAGGCTCTGCAGAGAAAAGAATGAATAACAATCATCTATATTATTTCTTTTTAAGGTGCTTTTTTCCCTCTAACATTTAACCTCCTGTTTGTTATTGAAATCACTCCTAATGGAAAAGACTTCCTCAATTCTACAACTTTTCAGATATGGACCCTTTGTAGCAAGCTTTTCAAAAAACTGAACAGAAAAAGATCTAATAATTTAAGGAGAGCAATTGCCATGGTTGACCTGCAACTAAAACTTAGCTTTCACAATCCAACTAAGAACCGATTGTGTATCCAAACAATCCTCAGAGCAAAGCTGTGCTTAAAGGGTGAAAAGTAGATTTTCATCCAAAGATCATTTAAGATTTACTGATTTTTGTTTCAATCTCTTACAGAAATAAGTGGCGTAATAAGGGGATAATATCAATATGGCTATAAGTATAGATATTTTTTAAAACAATAAGATTTTTAAGGGAAATATGTTTTCACTTATATCAGAAAACCAATGTTTTTGTATAAAATTGTGATTTAAAAAGCATTTAAAAATAAACACTCTAAATCTCTGACAAACACATGCAATAATAATAATATTATTGCATTTTATTTATTAATGCCTATCGAAATAAACAAACAAAAGCAAAAAAAAAAAGATTAAATACAGGAATAAAATCTTTTATCTGCTTTGACTGTTAAGCCATTTTCCCTCATTTTCTTTCTTTGAGGTAGTTATAAAATAACATTTTCTACATTAAATCACAGAACCTCAGCTTTAGTTTCAGCAGGTTTACATCATAGGTGCCTGCTGTGAAGATCTGCGAGCGCACCGTGAGGGAAACGTACAAAGCATCCGTAGAAGTCTGTGTGAAAGAACCTCAGGGAGTCATTGACTAGAAAGAATATTTCACACAATGGGTAACCATTGCAATTTATTCTTTTAAAGGCAGCATATTATGTTTAAAGGTTTTTAAACTGATGCAAACGTATTCGAATTAGGGGTTTGAGTTTTAAACGTAGCATTAATTCAGTGAGGGTTCCAGTTGTGACTAAAGCTGTGTTGAGATCTAGATGTGATTAAGCTGTTAAAAATCAGAAATAACAAATAACAGATAGAGAAGACAACTCTAGCCATCAAGTGTTTAAAGTCGTATAAATACCTCGGAGCCATTTGGAGTCATATTTGACCGTCCTGAGGACTGGTCGGCCCTCGCCAAGGCTTCTGTAGATGACGGCGTCGCTCGCAAGAAAGTCTGTCATGGTGGCTGAATAGAAGTCTCCCCCTGTAAAAAACAAAGACAAAACAAAACTTTTAGGCAATTATTTTATCACAAAAAAAACTTTAAACTCCAAATATTACATATAATTGATGTGCTCTGAAAAAGATAAAAGCATCCCTGAACAAACAAATCAGTCTTGAAAGATATTAATTTACCTTGACCCCCTTTTTCTTTATTTTTCTAAAGTAAAACAGAAAGCTCTGATGCATTTTAATAGGATGTTATGCGATAGACCAGTAAGTTGTATATTTGTAAAAAAAAAAAAAAAAAAAAAAGCAGTGTTGTGCATTTGTATTCAAAAGCCCTTCTCTGAAGTGCATGTCTGTATTTCTTCAGACCAAAACATTTTTTGCCCATTCTTTAAAGCATTTCTCCAGCTCGGTAGCACTGAGAAACATCTCAAAATATCAATTTCTATAAGAATCTGAGTCAGATTTAGGTTTGAAACTAGAATTGAGCATAGAAATAAACAAGACAAGATGCTTTAATCTAAACCATTCTACTGCAGCCCTGGCTGCATCAGGCTTGTTCAGCTTGAAGGCGAATTTCTGCCTCAGCTCTTTTATCAGCTTATCTCAATAGATCTCCCAACAGTACTGACCGCTTTAACCTTTTTCTCCCACATTTAACATTAAGAATGTTTAGTAACCAAAAAAACATTTTCGCACATCTGCAAATTTTCTGATTTTGTAATTAATTTTCAATTATTTCCATCATTTTTAATAGGCCAGATTTCTGACTAATATTTGACAATGAAATAAAGAAAATAAATATTTTTTAGGGGTATTAAAGCTCTCTGTTACAAATCTACACATTTATCTTAATTTTAAAATACATATTCTACTTTAGAAAACGGTATCTCTATTTTGTGCTGGTCTACCACATATTAGCCCATTAAAATACAGAGTATTTCACTGCTACATTTCTAAATGTACTTTCAAAACATGCATTACGGAAAATATCAGTGTAAAATAATTCAATATAAAAGAAAATGTTGCTCTTTTTAATGTTCATGCGGAGACCTGCTGTCTCACTGAGAACTTACCAGCAAACAGTCCAACATTAGACTGGATGGATTCAAACGGACAGCGAGCCTGACCGACCACTTCTTCTCCAACCTGTTCCAAGGAGGTCATCTGAAATAAGACAAGGCAAATTCTTTTTATGGCTTGAAAACAGAGTAAACAACATTTTAAATGCATAAAAATATCAGCTTTTGTGAATAATTAGTAGAAATGTTAACAGGATGTCATCAAACAGGATAAAAAAAACAATACTAATCTGTCCACTTTGTGGACTTTTTGATTCTGTTTAAGTTTCGTTTTGAGTTTTTATTTACATTTTTGTTTACGTTGTTTTGTATTTTCTTGGTTTGGTTGTTTTCTAGTTACAGTTAAGCAAATTTTTCCCTGGTTGCTCTTTGTTTTGATTTCCTTTCCCCTTGGCTCCTCTAGCTGCTTTTGCCCACACCTGCTCCCAATTAACTTATTTCTCAACTCTTGGTTCTGTTACCCATATATATTCCTCCTCTTCAGTTAATCAGTGCTGGTTTCTATTCATTACCTACTCCTCATGGGTTTCTCCCTAGTGGCTCTTTGTTTTTTTGGTTTCCTTTTTATTGTTTTTGGATTCATGCTTCTGTTACCATTTGTGCATTTTTTAAATCAGCAAAACTCATCGCTGCATTTGTGTCCTCAACCAAACTCCACCCAACCAGACACTACTCAGTTGGTGACAGTCATTTTTTTAGCAAATCACTTTGCATTAACATTAGTGTGCAAACTATTCACCTTGTGCTTGATCCCTTTCTAATGCACTGATGTTAACAGCACAGATAAGCGAAAAATAAAAGGTCAATGTTTATAATGCATAACAAGACAGATTCTTTTGTAATGAATGCCATTTATTTATTTGGCAAACGCTTCCAACAGAAACTCCATCAGGAACGTAAACATCTGTTTGCTAACAGAGGACAGGTTAATGTATTCAAGATAGTGCTACTGACAACAACTGTTTCATATATTTCACTTAATTATCATGCTGGTAATATTAAAGTTGACCGGTTAACGCTCAGATATCGTCTTAGCATCCTTGTGGCAGCTGTGCTCTTCTTTCTGAGGATGATGCTTGAATGTCTAACAGAGAGTTTAGCCTCCTGAGAAGCCTCATAAATACACCTGTCTGCTATTTTCTCCCTCGGGGAGCTGAATGTGTTTCAAGCTGCAAATGCTGAACTCTGTCTTTCCTACCAACCTACTTTTCTGTTTTTAATTCCGAATGAGGCCTTGGGTTCCTGTACTTCCCCTATTAAATCAGAGCAAAGCTTTGTTCCCTTTGTGCACACCTTCACAATTCCTATTTATATATATATATATATATATATATATATATATATATATATATATATATATATATATATATATATATATATATATATATATATATATATATATATATATATATTCCACAAATTCCAACATTTTCTCCTACAACATCTGATCAAATGATCGTTAACAAGAGGGGTTTAAAAAACTTAAATTTAGTTTCAGTCAAATTCTTTCCATACCGTACCACAAATTACTGTTTGGGAATCTTTCCTCATATGATCCCATACTTCATCTATCTGGATATTTAACTTAAATCCCTACAAAGTATTTTAGGTAGTATTGCATGACCTATTTATAATGACTTTCTTGCAGCATAAATAACTCAAAAATGAGTTAATGGCCATAAATAAGAAGAATACCTAACAAAATTTGTACTTGTATGGAATAGATTTAAAAATATTGTAATTGATTATTTGTTTAGACTGTTACTGTTTTCACTTTCTATGTAAGGTTTCCAATAAAATAAAATAATTGTTCTGGAAACCTATAATAATTTATTTTCTAAATATACAAGCTATGTATTATACTTTTAAATCATCTAGTGAAAAACTGCATTTCTGTTTCTGTAGGTTCCAAATCTCTTCTTTATATCAAACAATGTTAAGACTGAAATAAAAGCCTCATGTCTTCAGGTGAGCGTTCTTTTTTTTCTCCCTCTGCAGCCCAAGATTTCAAAGAACAAGAAGTTTCAGCTAAACAGGGTCATAAGCTGTCAATCAAACCTCCAACACTACAGTGGAGGGGTAAAAATAAGAAACAGTTTCTCCTGAGAGGCACCTCAGATGATGGGATTTATGACAGTTTGTTTGGTGTTGACGAGACAGCCAATTATGACTGGTGGAAAACACAGCCAGAATCAAAGTTATCATGTCTCTGAGACAGATTTCCTGCTTATTATCTAAAACACAAGAGGCAAACAGGGTTTGTAAATTTAGCCTCTGAGTGGGGTAATGGATATGATTAAAAAAAGTCACATGCTAGAATGAAAACCTGAACTTAAGACTTATTAAGAACAATTAACTCTAAATTTGTGGTGTTAGTATAAAAGTTGTGAGTCAGTGTTAACCCAACAGTCATTGAATGTTGTTTTAAATTTTAAATAACAAAAAAAAAACATATTTTACCTGCAGGGCCTGCAAAACTCTTTAGAGGTTGCATATTATATGCTTTTATATCAAACTTATGTTTTTTTCTAAGCAATGTATTTGAAAAGAACAATAACTCAAATTATAGCTAAGATACCATTCAGTAAATTTTCATATGGTGAAAATAAGGTTTGGAGTTTATTAAGCAGTGGAATAAGCTATCCTCTATGCTTTGCCATACATTCATTTTTCAGAACAATACTGAAGCATGTTATAGAATGTTTATCAAGTCATTTCAGTGCAGTTAAGAGGTAATCCAACTTTTACTAGCCAGGCACTTTAGCTACCGTCTCAGAATGATAACATCCTAAGCATAAGGTGTATCATATAAGGCACGTTTTTATTATAAAGCTACTAATATGTAAGGTTGAGAGAAAATTATAGTATTTTTTTTTATTACTTTATTCCATGTTGGGTAGAGTTTTCAAAACTGAGCTTTAGAAAGTTTGGCTGACAAACATCTGTCACTGCAACAAGAAACTGTTCAACTGTAAGCTCCAACCAGTCTGGATACAGTCAGTAACGTACAATAGCAGTGATGAGCATTTTTCATTGGTTTACTGCACCGACTGGAAACGCTCAAACGTTTTATTCGAAAGGACACTGATTGGTTTTACTTAAATGGCTTTAATATCATATTTGCATTAAACTTTGCAAACCTTAACAAACAGAAAAATCTTTTCATGTCTGTGCAAGTTTCACAAAGCCTATCTGGATCTTTATAATTTTTTTTTTTAGAAGCAGTCCTGCACAGCACAAGCGTTCATTCAGAACATCTAGCAAAAAAATCTTATCCCTATATACAAAAAGAACAGATTTTCACAATGGACTACATCCTAAAATCACAGCCATATTTTTGTAGCTTTGTCTATTACTGTCAGAAGAAAAATATAGAAAGAAGAAGAAAAATAATATTTTTATATACAAAGTTTAACCTGTGAAGTATTTTTTAACAACATAAGCAAAAAAAACAGTTGATTTCACACAGTTGATTCGTGTACAATGGAAAGTTCATTTAATGTTATGCAGCCGGTTTCTTAAACATAATAATTTCTAAATTATGCCCAAAACTGAACCTGAATTTACAGCAAAATAACTGTGAAACTTTGACAATGTTAATGTTCACAGAGTCCTGATTTGAGAGCAGCAATATGCTTTTAGGCTGCAGTGTGCAGTCTGATTTCCCGTTTTTTTTTTTTTTTTTTTATTAATGCATCTGCAATAAATGCCAAGATCCACATAACAGTATTAGTGTTTTACAACCGCCTTTACCCCTAAAATTGGGGATTATACGTCTGTTGGGCGAGTCTAAGCCATAAATGGGTGGCAGGTCAAACCCCGCCTCCTCTCTACAATAATCACTGCAGTTTAAACCTCTTAGGGGCTGTTTGTTTATCCTGCAGCTTTAGAAGATGTATTTCTTTCACTTTAAATAGAAGTCCAAAACGCTAAAATGTAGGATATCTTAAAGTGAACAGAATGTTTTTGTGAAACTTAGATGCAACTCTGACTAAACATTAGCTTTTTAAGGCCAATGCAGCTGTAAATCCCTGCTTAGTATCCCACTGCTCAGCGTCAACTATTTGAGATTTATAAATTAATCTCTTTAACCCCAGAACCAAATAAACATCAGAAAATAAATAAAATTAAATAGTTATTAAGACTTCTGTTAGCCTTTTCTAACAACTCAATATCTTTTAAAACCCTCCAAAACCCAGGAGTTATTTCCCACCATTTCAGCCAAGAAACTATCAATATTTATTGAGCTGGGAAAGAGCAGTCACAGAATGAGTAAAAATGTGTGCAAAAACACATTTGAGGTTCTTCAAATGCTTGTCTAACCAGAGAGAAAAAAAGGTGATAAACTCACTCATAAGGGTAATAATGTATGTCTGTGACTTTACCTTGTAGTTCCTGCAGGTCGGGTTAAAGGCGTTGGTACCACAAGCAAACAAAGTCTCATCATTTCGAGGCACCAGAACTTTGACGTAGTTGTAGCACTCATCCTAAAACACACACACAAAAAATAAATATATTATGACAATGACATTAAACTGTCATTTGCTAAATTAACAATGACATCTAGAAGAGGTACACAAAAGACAAGCATGAAGTCTGAACTCACGCTGTTCTTTCCCCTGACTGTACACTTGCTGACATCTTTGGATTTCCATGTCAGCTTCTGAAACACAAGGCGAGTGTAAACTTAATAACCTTTGTATACTTTTACTGAAGTAAGTCAACCACACTTAATAAAAAAAGGATAGAAGGAAGATGATTCATGTGTGACTGGAGAGCTGTTTGTAACAACACTTCAGGTTAATAAGGGACACTGCTGTTAAGGCCACAGCTCAGATAAATGATGATGTAATTGTTTTCAAAGTTTGCAGCTCTGCAGACCTTTTTCCTACAGTGTAGAGTGACTAGGATAGAGAAAAATTTTCAACTTATTTAGTAACATAGAGTTTCAAGTCATGGTAACCAGTGGTGGGAGTAACATGTCACGGATTAGCGTAAATATGCATAACATTCAGACAGTAACAGAGTAAAATAAAGCCTTACAAACCAAATGCTGGTAATATTATAAAAGTTCCTGAGGCAGGAAATGCTTTACAATCCAAGCTGCTGGTAAAGAGAAGATTTTTTTCTCCTTCAAGAAGACTTGTTTATTATATCAGGAAAAGATAGCTTCACAACAAAAGAAGACGGCAAGATGGGTATAAAAGTCAGTTCAACATTTCCCAAGTGTCCTCGCATTTATTGTTAATTTTAAAATATCATAAGCTACTCTCATCTTTTTTTCATAGAGATTTAATCCTTTTTGTCAAACTTTTTGTAAATAAATGGTAAGTGGCCTGGCCTGTATTTATATAGGGCTTTTTCGTGTCAGAGGACTTGACCAAAGCATTTTACACTGCATTCAGTCATTCACCCATTCACGCACACAATCACACACTGATGGTGGCAGGATACATTGTAGCCACAGCTGTCCTGGGACTCACTGACAGAAGCATGGCTACCGTACACTGGTCCCTCCAACCACCATCAGTAGGAAAGGCGCTTGAAGTGTCTTAAACAAGGACACAACGACACTACTGACAACACTCTGGTTGCAAGGCAAACTCCTTTATGCGACGCCACTGACGCACGTTTGTGACCAAACTTTACTCACAGCTGCTAAAGGTGGCATAGAATGGGAGCTTTTATCATGTTGTCTAAAGTTTTTGTTTTAATATTATATATTATAGGGGTTTCATGAAACCACCTTTTCATTTTCGATATGATACCCATAATACAGCTTTGAATATTGACTGATACTAATATTAACCCCATAAAATATCAGGCCAAATCATAATTACTTTTATTACTCATTTTGTAGATTAAAGTATTAGGAAAGCCTTGGTCAATGACATTAGTCAAACAGGTAATAAAAGATGAGGTAAGAAAACAACTAAAACATTTATTATTAACCCATTGGTTACCTAAATTGTAAATAGAAGTGGAGTGTCTCTATCAGCCCAGTAATCTCTCCGATATCCAATAATGATATTGGATCAGGAAATACTTTTTCTTTATCATTATATATTTGTCATTCAGATATTCATGACAATTTATTCAGCACCTTCATTTTGTTATGGCTCGTCTTAAATGATTATTTTGGTGAAAGTAACTAAAAAGTCATTAGTAACTTATTACTTTACACATATGTCAATATTGTAAAGAAACATATTACTTTCTGATAAAGGTAACTTGTAATATGAAATATATTACATTCTGGATGTCACTTGACGAACACTGGTTATAAAAAAATTATTTAATAGAATCAGAAAGCAAGAAATTTCTAAGGTGTTGCTGCCTTTTTTTTAATCAATAGGAATTCTGTGGGTTTTTAAACTTTTTTTTATTATTATTACACCCAGCGAGAAGCAGAACAAACACATTTGGTTTAGATTTATAACAAAGGATGATGAATTCCCAGCCAAAGAAAAGAAAATGCTTCTCTGAATTCAAAAGTAAATTCATGCAGAGATACAGAGCAGGATGCCATGCTGTCCTCAGATGCACCGTTGGGATTGAATCGTTGATAACGAGTGTAACATCTCACATCAAAGACCCGTTGTAAGCCCACCGTCCCACAATACACTGCTAGGTCTATTACTGTCAGAAGGCACCCCCTAACCTTTTCCCTTTGATGAGGAGAAGGTTTGGAGATCAAAGGAAGTGTGTCCTTTGTGCTGCCTCAGATATTACAAGGCGCTATAGTTCTGTTTTGCCGCCCTGATATTTAGTAGATCTATTGTGCAATAAGGAAAAAGGTTCTTTGCTGCATTGTCAGCTGTCGGTCCCAATATTGATCGTTTTGCTCTGAGGAAGATATTCTTATGTAAGACTGAAATCAGAATGAAGGTGCACAGTATGAAGCTTACTAAATATGTTGTGAAGCAAAGACAAGTCTGCTGAGTATGCATTCCTGTCAAACTTTATTTTCTTGAACCTATAAGTTTATTTTAAGATTAAAAGCTGCTTCATGTAAACTGAATGAAAATATTTTTAAAAAACGAGCTAAAAATGGGATGCAGCCTTGGTTAAATTCACGATACAAATCAAGGCAACAAATTTAATTTAGCAAATTACTATCTATTCACTAGCTGTAGGTGATCAGTCCAAAATGTAGATATTATTGAATCAGTGTTGGATCAAAACCATTTTTTGTGAGATTGATATTTTTGTTTTAAGATTTGCTCTTTGATGCACTACTGCTGTTTTGACAAAAAGGCAACAGGCTGGTTGCCGCCGCTGGACTTGCAGCTCCGTCCCAGCATGAAGTAAGAGGAGGTCAAATCCCCCTCTGCTGTGTTTTCATTTAGTCTAAACAGGAGGGCCGACCTACAGGGAGCCTTCTGGGAATTATTCTTTGAAATTTTTAAATCATCACTCATTCTGGTTGAAAAATTTTTTATTGTAGGAATTTATCTGAAATCCCTGAATTCGTGGAGTGAAAATATGTTTTATTTTTATATGGTACCTGATCAGCGCTACTTAAAAAAAAAAAAAAAAAACTTTTTTTATTTGCTTTCAAATTGCTATATTACCTCATTTATTAAGGACTTGTTACATATACCTCTTTTTGGTCAATCGTATCATTTTATTAACTTACGTGGGGAAAACTGAAATAAAATTAAGCCAATTATTCTCAAAATAAGCTTAATTTCCCTTAATATGAGCAGGTAAATAAGGCAATTTTCCACTGGCTTCCATTAGATGGTTCATGATTAAAATAAGAAAAAATATATAATTATCCTTTTTGAAGTGCATATTTTATTTTAAGGACAAAAATATTAATTAATTGAGCAAATCATCTTTATTACTGCTCAAACGATGTCAATTGATGTCCGGCTCTTGAAGTAGCCACCTGTAATCTTTGTCTAAATGCTGTGTGAAAAACATTTAAAAAGGTAGAAGCTTGAAGATATTTGAAAATAAAATATTAGAACCTATTGGTAGTTATACCAATAAGTACTAATAGTGGTAGACATATGTTGCTTTAAATAATTCTCCTTTAAGCTGTCTTGAAAAATTTAATTTGTTTTTTCATAAGATATTTTTTCCCAAATCTTTGTCAGTGTGTGAGAAAGCCTTAACTCCAAATTCAGATAAAGAACATTTATAGTATGAAAATGACCAATAAAAAGTATATTTTCAAAAATGCACACATTGGCACCAATTATTTTAGTTTGTTGCTAAACCTAAATTTTTTCTCCTCAATAAGATAATCTTATTTGATAACATCCATCTGGTACAATCACAGAGAGGGATTATGAACTGATTCAAGAAGAGGGAAAAGAAAAAAAAAGATTAATTTTAATTCTATTTTTAAACCAAATTAAGGTGTTTTTTTAAACAAAGGGTTCTGTAATCAGCTGCTTAACTACTTTAGAGCAAAAGAGACAAGCAGCATTTCCAGGGGAGACAGAGGTAATTCTGATGCACCAAAGTAATTCTGATACTTGGCGCAGGCATGTTTGCGGTCTCTGGAAGCATCAGATCCAAAAATAAACTATTCATCGTATGAATTTACTCACCAGCTGTGGAACAAACTCCTCTGATGCTGTCGTTAGGTTCACAGCAAAGACATGATCCCTGAGGAGTTCAAAGCAGAGTCAGGCACACAACCACATTTCAGAAGATTTATTGAATTCTGATGAAAGTGCTGTTCAGGCACATCATCTAAATGCATCCATATCTGGAAGGTTGTCTTTGTGTCAAATTCAATTTTGTTTGTCATTCTCTTTGTTCAGCTGTTAATAATAATTGCAACTGTATGTTTAGCTCAATCATGCATCGGTGTTGATTTTGTGTTTACCTCGCTTTGCCAAGTGTAAACCTTTTTGACAAACTGCCTGGTTATAAATGTCAGTCAAAACCACACAACAAAAAATGCCTTCTAAAAAATAAGAAAAAAATATACCGTCTTAAGTAAATAATTGCTTATTCTGAGCAAAATAATCTGCCAGTGCAGCAAGCAAATGAGACTTGGTAAGATTTCTTAAAAGAAGAACATAATATCCGAGTAGTAAGCATCCAAAAAAACTTAAATCAAGTATAAAAATCTACTTTTTCTTTTACTTGATAAGATTTTTTGTCTTATTTTAAGCAATGTATTAAACTAGTCTGTTTTTCTTACCTAGAATTAATTTCATTATTTTGGTGTAGTGAATCTAAAAATACACTTGACAAAAACTTTAACACGTTTCTTTTATTAGCATTTTAGCAGAAATGTCACAGAATTAAACGAAATACACCCCCCCTCCAAAAAAAACTCAAAAAGCTGAGGGCTGCACAGGGTAACAATAAAGTGATGGTGATGTAGCAGTATCGCTACGCTCTACCCCTTCTATTCATTCTAGCTAATCTGAATCGTTCAATTCCATTTGGAGAGCGAGAATATCTGTGGTAACAGCACTAGACATCTTCCAGGCATGTGTGGAAAACTAGCAGCAGTTCAGCGGACAGGATGAAAGAACGCTACTGTAGCCGGCGCACGCGGATGACGTCATACACGCGCCGCTTCGTCTTTAAAAGATAAAAATATAAAAAATATAACCGCGGATGTCTGGGGGACAGTGATACGCCTACGTTATGATTGCTGGTGTACCATAAAGAATAAATTATAAACAGTTTAATTTGTGCTTCAAGTCGTTGCCCATAGGAAGACTTTACTTGGATATAACCTGACAGAATATCTTCAGAACGGCTCCAAATGACACAAAACTTATAGAGCATGATGTAATAACGTAAAATTAGGGGCCAAATTTAAAAAAGGTGTTCCCTTTTAAGGTAGAGCTTCTATTATAATAAGCATATGTATGATGTACAGTAGTTATGATGTATTGTAGTTTACTTTGTTCTGCAAACAGTAAATGATCCATTAGTGAGGTTCAGAATCTCAAAGCTAAATTATGAATGGCAATCTCAATGGCCCTATCAATTTGAATGCAATCACAGTTGATTAGCTGCAATATCTTAATGAGATGGGGTCAGTTCTTAAAACAGGTTAATATGAATTGTCTTGTTGTCTTGAAACAAGTAAAAATGTACTCACAGTCTAAATGTTAACGCGACACAGTCCACAATGTGTCCTATTTTAAGAAAAAAGCTGCTCAGAATTAGTTTTATTATCTAGTTAGGATGAAAAAGGTGAATTTTCCTAAAACAAGTCAAATAATCTTAACAATATTCAGTCTTACTAAGAAAATACATTGAAAAACAAGTGTAATGAGACAAAAATGCTGAATTCAAGTTTATTACACTTGTATAGATTTTCCTTTTTTGCAGTGCAGAGTATAAAGATTAGAATTATGTTACAAATTTGTCCAAACCTTTACAAAACTATCTCACCTTTAATTTCATTAACTACATGTATGCATCTAGAGTGGAGTTTAGATGAGGTTTGTGGTTACATTTTCAAATTGAATTTAACATTCATACTTTCAGATAAGCAAAACAGTTAAAGACTGAGTGTACTTCCAATCACACATATTAAACACCGACTGCACTCATCACAAGTCAAGTGTTCACTTAGTATTAACTGGAGTTGCACAAAGTGTATAAAATCTGATCCGATATTTAAATGCCGAAATTATATTTAGGGGAAGTTTAGTCAAACCAGGCTAAACTTCCCAGACCAAATTTCCAATTAAAATGGTCAATTTTACTAAAGCAAATAAGTAGTCAAGATCAAAATTAATAGATAAATACAGGTGCTGGTCATAAAATTAGAATATCATGAAAAAGTAGATTGATTTCAGTAATTCCATTTAAAAAGTGAAACTTGTATATTATATTCATACATTACATACAAACTCATATATTTCAGATGTTTATTTTGTTTAATTTTGATGATTACAAATGACAACAAATGAAAATCTCAAATTCATCATATCAGAAAATTAGAATATTACTGAAGACCAATAAAAACAAAGGATTTATAGAAATGTTGGCCAACTGAAAAGTATGAACATGAAAAGTATGAGCATGTACAGCACTCAGTATTTAGTTGGGCCTCCTTTGGCCTGTATTACTGCAGCAATGCGGCGTGGCATGGAGTCGATCAGTCTGTGGCACTGCTCAGGTGTTATGATAGCCCAGGTTGCTCTAATAGTGGCTTTTAGCTCTTCTGAATTGTTGGGTCTGGTGTATTGCATCTTCTTCTTCAATATACCCCATAGATTTTCTATGGGGTTAAGGTCAGGAGAGTTTGCTGGCCAATTAAGAACAGGGATACCATGGTCCTTCAACCAGGTACTGGTAGCTTTGGCACTGTGTGCAGGTGCCAAGTCCTGTTGGAAAATGAAATCTGCATCTCCAAAAAGTTGGTCAGCTGCAGGAAGCATGAAGTGCTCTAAAACTTCCTGGTATGTGGCTGCGTTGACCCTGGACCTCAGAAAACACAATGGACCAACACCAGCAGATGACATGGCACCCCAAACCATCACTGACTGTGGAAACTTTACACTGGACTTCAAGCAACGTGGATGAAGTGCCTCTCTTCTTTTCCTCCAGACTCTGGGACCTTGATTTCCAAAGGAAATGCAAAATTTACTTTCATCAGAGAACATGACTTTGGACCACTCACCAGCAGTCCAGTCCTGTTTCTCTTTAGACGCTTCTGACGCTGTCTGTGGTTCAAGAGTGGCTTGACACAAGGAATGCGACAGCAGAAACCCATGTCTTTCATACGTCTGTGTGTGGTGGTTCTTGAAGCACTCACTCCAGCTGCAGTCCACTCTTTGTGAATCTCCCCCACATTTTTGAATGGGTTTTGTTTCACAATCCTCTCCAGGGTGCGGTTATCTCTCTTGCTTGTACACTTTTTTCGACCACATCTTTTCCTTCCCTTCGCCTCTCTATTAATGTGCTTGGACACTGAGCTCTGTGAACAGCCAGCCTCTTTAGCGATGACCTTTTGTGTCTTGCCCTCCTTGTGCAAGGTGTCGATGGTCGTCTTTTGGACAACTGTCAAGTCAGCAGTCTTCCCCATGATTGTGTAGCCTATAGAACTAGACTGAAAGACCATTTAAAGGCTTTTGCAGGTGGTTTGAGTTAATTAGCTGATTAGAGTGTGGCACCAGGGGCCATCAATTTTGAACCTTTTCACAATATTCTAATTTTCTGATATGATGAATTTGAGATTTTCATTTGTTGTCATTTGTAATCATCAAAATTAAACAAAATAAACATCTGAAATATATGAGTTTGTATGTAATGTATGAATATAATATACAAGTTTAACTTTTTAAATGGAATTACTGAAATCAATCTACTTTTTCATGATATTCTAATTTTATGACCAGCACCTGTATAATTTTTATATTTTAGTCATGACATATTGAAATATTTAATACAAATAAAATATAAACACAAAGCACTGCTATCTTTAAATTAATCAATCCCTGAATTAGAGTATGTGACTAACAGCAGAATAAGCATCCGATCAAATTACCCAAATAAAAAACATGATTTGATAATTAAGCCTGTAATTGTTGTGAACTATCTAAACCACACCTTTAAAATGCACACCTTTAGGGATACAAGCACTTAAATATATTTGTATTCTATGGACCTTCTTTTAAACCCACTTACCTTGCTGCGATATAAAGAATATGATTAATGCGCAACATCCTCTGAAAGTCCAGGCCCAAGCGCAATGTGTCGTTGTCCTGTAGTAGACCCTGAAAACCGGGATACTGGTACGACTCTGCAAAAACCACGGATAATGAGAAATGTCAAATGATTCTGAAAAGTGAGCTTATTTCTTTTCAAAAAAAAAAAAAAAGGCAGTTCTAGAAATTATACATCGGTTTAAAACCAGATCAAAATCAAACTAGATCTTTACATTAAACTAGACCGAAAAGACAAAAGTGTTGTTTTTTTTCTCACATTCACTTAAAATTTTAATGGTTTACAATCTAACATTTAAAATCAGCAGGGATTATCGATGAGGCTATCCTTTTATTTTTGTTAAATTCAACATCAATCATTTGAAAGTACGTGACTGAAGACACCCCGTGTACTTTTAAGGGTAGGCTTAAAGTTTTTACCTTTTTGATAAAGCTTATGTATAGTAAGAGTGGCTCAGGTTATCCGGCGCTATTTCTATAGTTATGCTGCTATAGGCTTAGACTGTTGGAGGACATAGGAACCCCTTTCTTTTAATCATTCTGCGTTATTGTATCCACGCCTTCCACTCTGCACAATTTGTCGTGAAACTCTAATGTGATGCTCTGATTTTTCTCATAGTAGCTTCATCTGGTCTGTTTGTGTTTGGCTATGACACCATCCTGGAGAAAAATATCAGCTGTGCTGCTTCCATCAAGACCTCTGGTTATAGTGCTGTAGCTTGGCCTGTTTTTCAGTGTAGCACTGCTTCTTTGACTAACTGGATGTGCTCTCTTCGTCCTCTGACATGGAAGCTGGCTTGTAGCTCATATGCCTGGCTGTGTGGATCCTGGACGGGGCCTGTGGAGCTGGTTCACAGTTGCCTTTTGTATCTCTGCTTCTTTCTCCTTGAACCCCAGTTGGCCTCGGCAGAATGCCGCTCACACTGTGCCTGGGTCTGCTGTAGTTTTCTTTCATTTTAAAGGGAGTTTTTCCTCTCCACTGTCGCTAAAGCATGCTTGGTTTAAGTGATTGCATTCAGGTCAATGAGTCGATGCAATCAGCTGGTTTTCCTAAGATAGAAAACTTTGAATCAATCTGACTGTATGATCTTGTTGAATTGTCTCTGTAAAATTCCTTGAGTTGTCATGTGTTATGAACTGGCGCTACAGTATATAAATAAACTGAACTGAAATTGAATTGAGTCGATGTCAAATGTTTTAGGTATTATTTCAGTAAACAACAGATAGCTCAAATTTTAAATAAATTCCTTCAGACAGGTGGTGTAACTTTGGCTTTTAAGCTGTTTTGCTCAAACACACCTCTTCACACAAACTATTTGGAACTGACTGTGTAATAAAAAAATAAAACTTTCACTATCCTTCTTTATAAAACAGATTCTTTTCATTTTAAACAAAAATGTGATGACTGCACATTTTTTTATGGAGTTTCTACTCTAATATATTTGAGTAATTAAATTATTGCCATTTCCGACACTGAATTCCCTGAATCCACCCATGAACTGGACGTGTGGAGTTAGGTGAATTTCTTTCTAATACTGTGGCTAATTTCTGTATATATTTAATGATGTCACATAAGGTAGGCATTCAGACTTTTTCTGTTGAGCTGTGACATAATGGAGAGTCCCCTCTTCCTTGTCCAAAAGAAATGTGGATCGAGTCTACTTTTGACAGATGATGGATAAAAATGTGTGAAAATGTAAAAAAAAAAAGATGAACTGGCAGGAAGTGAATGATGGGAAAAGTAAAGTGAATCTGGTACATTTCAAAATGAAACAGAGGGTGTCTGACTCCGTTAACTGAACCAACCTGTATCCAGTATGAATTGCTCAACAGCAATATTTTGATGAATGACTTAATAATGGAGAAAACATGGATTATAGTCAGTGTGAGTGAGGGTTAAGTTATTACACACCAGGGAAGTGCATCATCTGATATTTTCCAAATTATATAAGGGCATTCTAATCTGAGATTCAGTAACTTTTAAATTCAAGAGAGGTAATAAAAAAAATTATCTTCCCAATTTTTCTGGGAGTTGAAAAATAATGTTGTTAACTCTAGCTGACCTAAAACAGTAAAGGTATAGTCTGATTTAATATTAGATTGTGAACAAACAAAACGCCTTTTACACAGTAAATTAAATTTCTTACTGTAACCAGTGATTCCCATTTTTTATTCTATTTTAAATTAATGGTTTTTAGAAACTGTGACAATTTCAATCAGATGAAATAATAAACTGATACAGACACATTTAGCAGAATATGCCAAACTGTTAACAAGACCAGTGTGGACTCAAAGGGATTCACTCACGTTCCGAGCTGACAACATGGAGCGGTTCCAGGTCTTTGGGGAAGGATGTGGTCGAGGCAGACGCAGACAGAAAGCACGAATGAAGCAATGTCAGCAACAACGGCATCCGCCATAGCCACAGCCAGCCGGTCAGGGCCATTTTTACAGGAGACCTTTAAATGAAGGAGGGTGGAAGAGGGTGGTGTCAGTGGGTCATCGCGAACATCCGCTGTAAGTAGAAAGAAAACGAAACAATGGTTAGGCTCTCAAAATAAACCTGGAGGGCTTATTTTGTGTTTTTTCTCCTTAAGATGTGTTTCATCTCTAGCTAGAAATAAGAAAAATTAGCATTTTGCCCCACATTAAATTACAGGACCTCAGTGCAAATCGCGCAGTAATTTACACACATTAGAACAGTAATGACATCCAAGTGCTACCACACAAAGAAAACCACCTATCATGAGAAAAACAAGGCTTTACGGTTTTAAATGGCTGCTTCAGAGAAGATTAGAGAACCAGATCAATCATTTAAACATTTGTATTTTTTTTTCCAGAGTCAAAGCTTTCAGGTATTTATCTCACATTCCGGCAGAAGTGTTGGAGTTTATTTAGATAACTTCAGTTGCCTTGTGCTTCCTTTTTTATTTTGCTCATTTAAGGGGAAGTGCTTTAAAATGGAATGTTAAGACCTCAATTATTTCCATTTCTGTGGAAGCCCTCTGAACTGAAGTTGTATTTTAAAAAGCTACTTTAATTTGTTCTGCTTTCTGTCTGCAAGTAATTAACACTCCTTTAAACCCAGAGGCAAGGTCAGATTATCACATCACATAACTAACACCTCAGAAAGAAATGAGTGGAATTGCCAAGGTACTCTTGGTTTAAGACTTTTTATAATCATTTTACCATTTTATTCATTAATCCTTTTCTAACCTGGAATATTAATATATTAAGAAATACTGCTACACTTTTCTTCCTCTGTGTCCCCTTCTAGTTATTTATGTTAATCTATCTGCATAATATTAAGGTTGGAACAATCCCTGTTTCTTTCAGTCTTCTTTTCACCTCCTTTCCTTTTCTATCATCAACCAAATTGACAAAGGAGAGCATGAAGGTGACACGCTATCTTCTCCTCCCCTCTTCCATCAACTTCTTTGTGTCATCTCCTCAATCTCTTGATTTGTTCTGTCGTATGAAATGACAAATGAAAAGAAAGAAAGGTGAACGCAGACATGGCAAAAAAAACTTTTTACTCCTTATCACCCTCTAAGGAAATGCAACAAAAAGAAAAATGAGGAGCCGGTCTAATGACTTGTCTTTTCACCCTCCTACATGCCTCCTTTTCCATTTCAATCTGAAATTTTCTCTCTTTTCATTTCAAACTACCGACCGTCTGAGCTATCATTGACATCATCCACATGATATATTCAGTACAAGTTGAACGGGTAGGGGGGGGGGGGGGGGGGGGGGGGGGGGGGGTAAAAGCATCAGAAAACACAGTAATGGGGGGTGATGGAGCAATTCCTCTCCAAAAACCACGAAAATGACCAAGGATATCGTTAAAATGGGAGAAATTCGCTCTGTTACTCAGTTAAGATGATATTGCTTTGAGAAATCCCCCAGCACACAGCTGATATCTTCTTTCAAGCCGTGTAGCTTTGATAAAAGAACTTCTGTGATGGGATGATTGATGAAAATCTTGTACTGGAGCTTCATGGCTTCGTAACGTTTGAACAAACTGTTGGTAGTAATAACCGTCTTTCCCTCTGCCTTTTGACATACAGTCTGCTTTCCTTTTTCTCCTCCAGCTGTATTTATCGGCTTTGTACAGGAGACAATTTAAGTAATCACAGCTTCAGACTGAATCCTTTAGAGAAAGATCATCCAGTTACCACAAGAGGATTTTCTTCCTTCTAATGAGACCATCAATAAACACAAAACAGCCCGATTGTGTTGTAAAATTATTAGAAATCAATAAAATACAAGATAAAATGCTATGCAGGGTTTAATTGTTTGACACCTCAAAAACTATGATCCAGGAATATAACCCCCAAGTAATATTACTACATAATTATTAATTAAAAAAATATCTTACATGAATTATTTATTTTAATTTGGCAACAAAATAGTAGCATGTAAAGTAACCCAACCGGTTTCTCAAACACTCAATGGTTGCTGTACTTCTGATACAGCTTGTACTTTTAAAATGAAAAGATTCTTTAAAACAAGGCAATTTCTTAATGATGGCTGTTTTGTGAATGACCCAGAATCTCATAAAAGAAGACATTTAGGAGAATGCATCAGTTAAAAAGAGGCATTAGGCCCAAAAGGACATTAGATTTCCCATTTTATGGGTAAGCAATTCAATATTTTCCTGCTGTTTGCCCTATAATCACCATCTGCTTCTCCAAATAAAACTATGAGTCAAAAGAAAAAGAAGAGAAAACTAAGGACATTTGCAAAATACAGCACTGTGAATTTTTGTACATAAATTATACAACTCAACACGGCATAGACTTTAACACCTTCAATGGTTAAACAGACGCTCATCAGCCACAAAATAATGTAAATAAGATAAAGCAAAATTGAGTCATAAAGAAATAAAGGAGGAAAAAGCATATGTTCAATCTGCTTAAGAAAAAAATCAGCTAAGACGACACATTTAAGAACTGCAAATCTGTGATATGGCCTGTGAGCTAATTCCATCTGGTCCATGAAGTATTAAATTGCTCATAAGTCAAAAGCAATCCAACATAGTAATTAGTTAACTTGCTAACATTATTGCATAATTAGGGCCTAACTTTAACAATGAAGATCTGTATCAACTTGAGACATCCAGATCCGTTCCCCAAACCAATCATTCCATTTTCACAGGATCAATTTAGGCATCAATGCTCATCATTAAATAAATACATTGAAGATTTATTTTGAATGTAATAAAGAACATATCTGATGCTGCAGCTTGTGCTACTGTTACATCATCTTTACATTAAACATGTGAAAAATTGCTCCGGGTTTAATCACAATGTAGCAATGCTGCAGTTTTTCCAGTCCTATTTTGCCCCTTAATGTTATGCAACTCAAATTCTATTTTTAGATGATACTATAAAAACATTGAAGAGAGAGGTATGATGGAAAAGTGGCATTCTACCAAGCATGAGTAACTCCTTACAACTTAAGTTACCAATAATTAGTAAACAATGTTGGTATTAACTTTATTAGCAAAGACAAGCTTTACAGTTTTCAGTGACTTGTCAAAAACTGCTTATGAGTACAAATCCTTTAAAGGATGTTACTGGTTCTTTATGCTAACTCGGATAAAGTATGTTCAAAATAAAATCAAATAAATGTGGATAAAAGGAGCCAAGTGTAAATTAAAGAAACTGAGAAAAACCTGTAAGATTTCAAGCATATTTTTTCTAAAAGTACGGAGGAAAGTACAATAGGTAGGATAGTATAGCTCAATATGCGATGAGTAACAGTTTTCAATAAGAAATAGCTCCCTTAATCATTGTGTAGCTCCCTGTATGTGTATGTGCTGTTCCTTAAATCATTAATTTGCCGCTCTGAGCTAAATCAGCCATGATATCAATTCTCATTCAACGAGACAAGCCCGAGAAAAAGTGTGTTCACTAACGAACGACTAGTCACTCAGTCAGTCATGCTTGTAGAGCTCAGAGCACACCTTGGAGAAAAGCTGGTTTTATTTAGTCTCTGCCCATGACATTCTGTCTAAAGCTTCGTCCCATTTCTCAAAAGTAATTTACACCTGGATGTGTACGACTGGATTAGATTGACACCTGGAAAGATTTCTTGTCAGCTAAGGCATTACATTGTGTGGGCAGCCTGAAGTGATATATGAACCTTTTAGAGTTTTAATCATACTGTAATGTTATGTCTACCATTGCTAAATATATAGAAATACCTTTCTTTTCACTCAGTTCGGTCCTGTTCATATGTCAACCGATTGAAAGACAAAAATACTTATGATTTATTGAACTCGCAACAGTTTTGGACAAAATTGAAGAAGTTATGGAAGCTGGTGAAAAGCAAAAGCATAGCTGTAGCATTTCTAGATTGTTCCAGGTACCAGTGTATCATGTCTCAATTCAATAAAGACATCCAGAGGAAACTAGCTGGTCTCTCCAGTTGCTGAACAGACATTATAGTGCAGCTATAAAAGTGTTCAATTTGTCTAAGCTGGAAGAAAAAGCCACAAGTGAATAAATACAAAAACTGCACACTATAGTGCATAATCACTCGAGTTAATATAGGAAAAACTTGTACTTAAAAGAAAACCTCCTTAATTTACAGCTGACATTAGAAATACATACGGGATTTACTCCTAACCATCATTAAAAATGATACATGATCAAGGTTTTTAATTTTTATATCTAGCAGGTCTTTACATTTTCAACCTTGAAGTGATACTTATGAAAGCTCACGGTCGTTTCAGTACAACACACTTTTACAGCTTGGATTTTTGCAATGCAAATTCAGTTGCATGTCCAAATTACTCCCTAAAATCAATCAAAAAATAAAAAAAAAACTGCAGACCAATTTGTCTCTTTTGGATTTACATTCAAAGATTAGCTTTAAGCTAAAATAGATCATCCTAACAATGGTCCTTGAAGGTGTTGCCAGTCTACACCTCAAGTTTATTTTGCTTTATTTAAGCACTTTAGTAGCATTTCTTTTTGTATGTTTAATAAAAATAGCAAGGCTCCATGGTGGAGAAGAAGGTAGCACTGTTGCTTTACAGCAGGATGGTTCTGGGTTCCGTTTCAGGGCCAGGGTCTTTCTCATGTTCTCCCTGTGAATGCATGGGTTCTCTCCGGGTACTCCAGCTTCCTCCCACAATCCAAAAACATGACTGTTGGGTTAAATTGCTTCTCTAAAAATGTCCTTACGTGTGAGTGTGTGTATGCATGGTTGTGTGTCTTTGTTTGTTTGCCCTGCAACAGACTGGTGACCTGTTCAGGGTGTACCCTGCCTCTTTCCCAAAGACTGCCGGAGACTGGCCTCACCGAGACTCTGACAAGAACTACGCTGGAGGAGATGAATGGACGGACGGAAATAAAAATAGCTAAGTATCAGCCTTGACATATTTTTGTCAATTTTAAAAGAGGCGACACATATGAAGACATATACTCAGTGTATGTAACCTTGATAATATTAGTAACATATCAAAGGAAAGTCACTGCATATTTAGGGCAGAGTTTGGGTGATTTG